TTAATTTTGTTTTTAAGAGAAACAAGTTCGACTTAGGAAAACATTAGTGATCATCTACTAATCTGCTATGTTAACAGGTGCATAAGCCTTGTACCATCTAAGGGTGGCATGTAGGGGTGTGCATACGATTTATCGATTCGATTTTGACCCTTATCGATAATTACTTATCGATTATCGATTTGTACATATGCTTATCGTTATCGTTTCAATAAGGTTTCGATTTTTTCGATTTCGATTTCGATAACAAATAATCGATTCGATTTATCGATAAACCGATTCGAATGCACACCCCTAGTGGCATGTGGGCCGGTTAGGCCCGGGATTGGCCCAGACCCGCGTGCCTGAATGGGTAGTGGGCCTAAACGGGCCTAACCGGATAGGAGCGGGACCGGGTGAGGGTGGGCTTCCAAGTGGGCCGGTCTCTTTACATAGGCCCGCGAGATCGGGACCGGGACCGGGACCGGCTAGTAAGTTAGTCGGTTCAACCGGTCCTAAGTGGGCCTAAACGGGCCCAACGGCTATTTTTTAAAAAAAATATTTTCTGCCAAAATGGTCATTTTTAGCCGTTAGTGGATTTAAAAAACGGCCATTTCTAGCCGTTGGCTATTTATAAAATAGCCGTTTAACCTCTTAAACTTTGTTTTAACCCCAAACTTTTTAAAATTATAGTTTTTCCCTATTTTCAACTATAAATACCTCATCATTCTTTCATTTTTCTCACAAAATCATCAATCTCTCTCAATCTTTCTCTAATTTTCTTCTATAATTGGTTACTTTATTGTTGCAATTTGTCTGAAAAATTGTGAAGTTGGTGAATTGAAGTATTCAAGTCTTCAACAATAATTAATTTTCAACAAGTTGTTCGTCAATTCGGTAAACTCGTTCCAACTCTTAAGTTTTAATATTATAGTTTTGTTTTGTTTTGTTTTATTTACTTTTGTATTGTTTGATTAATTAAGATGGATTTTTCGTTAAAAAAAATATTTAGTAAAAATGAGGGAAAATCCAAGAGTGGTGAATCTAGTGGCCAATTTATTTCTCCTCCAATTCCCCGGGCTCCCCTATCCAAACCCTATACCCGCCCTCCACTTGCTTCTATTCTTGATAGTGATAACAATTTATTACAATTTACTGAGAGTCAATATTTGCATAATGTTGGAGGTGGTGAACACTTAGACCATGAATATATGAATGCTCTTTATGGTAATTCAACTATTGATGAAGATAATGAGGAGGAAATGGATTTTGATGGAACGCAACCTGATGACGATACACCCACTAGTCCTGTTGTTGAAGTTAACCCAACTAATAATAATCCAAATGATGCCTCGTCTGACCCCCTTGTTAGTACCCTTACTTTTTCTAGACAACCTTCTAAACATGCCGAAACATCTCTTGTTTGGCCATTTTTTATTCAAATAAGAGATAAAAAAAGGGCTAAGTGTAAAACTTGTGGCAAAGAGTTAGCTATTAAATATGTTGGAGGTCCGGGGGGGGGGGGGGGTGGGGGGGTAGTTGGAG